GCACATGTCTTTTGTTTTAAGATGGCCATTGCTGTACAAAGATGAATAGATTGAGGTGTTTATCAAGATGGATTTTTTAAACAAAACATTTTTACCACATGAATGCAGATTTGCTTGGTCTTTGCTCCATAGACAAGTGGATTGAGAAATGGAGGAACCAGGAGGTAGATGCTAGAAAAAAGGATATGGATATAAGGGGGGATGTGAGAACCAAACCTGTGTGTGAAGAAGGAGAAGAAGGCAAGGAGGTAAAACTGCAGGAAGACACAAATGTGAGCAATGCACGTATTGAACGCCTTAACCCTAGCCTCCTTCTGGGGCAAACGAAACACTGTGATAAAGATCTGCATGTATGACAATGTGATGAATATGAGATCAAATCCTGCAACAGTGAAGGCTACAAACAAACCATAGACCTTGTTGACCCATATATTTTCTACAGCTAGTTTCACAATGGCCATGTGCTCACAGTAAGAGTGGGAGATGACAGTCGTGTGATAAAATTGAAGCCGACACTTGATCAGGACTAGGCATGGGGCTACTAGAATGGCAGGCCTCAGGATTGCCACAGTCCCTACTTGGATGACCAGTTGGTGGGTGAAGATGGTGGCATGTCTTAGTGGATAACAGATGGCCACATAACGGTCTAGAGCCATGGCAAGCAGGATGCCTGACTCTATACCCTGAAATGTGTGGATGAAGAACATTTGAAGCAAACAGGCATCAAAATAGATTTCTGGTGCGTGAAACCAAAAGATTCCAAGCATCTTGGGTATAATGCTGCTAGCAAGTGCAATATCTGTGGCTGCTAGCATGCCCAAGAAAATGTACATGGGCTCATGGAGACTGTGTTCTGATCTGATGATGATCAATAAGAGGCCGTTTCCAATTATAGCAAAGAGATACATGGCACAGAATGGAATCCCGATCCAGCACTGCACAGATTCAAGGCCTGGGATTCCCACTAGTGTCAACACAGAAGGCATGAAGATTGTGGTGTTATAAATGGTCATGGTTTCCTTGAGCTTCTGGAGGGAAATAAAAGAAATGTCTCAGTCAATGCCATAGTTTTTATTCCAGTGAGTCGTCAGAAAGTCATGACACATTTTTGTATAGAAAAACATGAGAAAATACATCATGACTTTTCTGACTTCCTGCTTTTATTCAGTAATATCAAGCATGTTTAGTTGAAATAGAACCCTTACATTTTATCTTTCATCGTATTACTGAAGGAAAAAGACAATTTCATAAGGTCATATCACTGTTTTCAGGGAGAGTGTCAAGAAATTCTGCATAAATGAGCTGTTATATGTGTCACAGGCTGAGTCCATTCGGTCCAACTAAAACTCCTCTGTAGGCTAGGGGTTAAGTTTCTGGTATGTTATCATTCTTTTTATTCCTGTGAATAGGAAATTATAGAAAAAGCAAACTTGCCTACTTTATATAAAAGCTGTTTTAAAAAAATGCTAGATGGCTTCTTCACTCTGGAGAGAGACAAAGAAAGGAAGAGAAAAAGAGAAAATTAATGAGTTTTCTCATGAGTGATCATCATACCATAATCCTTCTCCATCTCCATTTTACTTTTAGGAATTTGGGACATGCACACACACACATCAGTGTATTTTTCAAACTGCTGTATCCAGGACTTAAATCTTACAGTTAGTCACTTGAGATCCAGCTGTCCTTACCACCACACCGTTCTGAAAAGTACATTTTAATCAAAGTTTAATGAATCTGTCCATTCCCCATATTCCAGCTACCCCTCAGATTCTCTATTATTCCAAGTTGTCTGGATATCAGAAAGAAAATGCACCAACAAGTTCTCAGAAACTGATCAGCATTTTACTGTAAAAGTTTCTCTAGGAGAGAGAATACAGATTTAAAAAGTAGATATCCAGTGAGTCATATATTTATATATCTATAGCTATATTTATCATGTTTACCAGGTGTGAGACTGGTTGTCCTTTCAGGTAAGTGTGCAGGAAGTGCTTTAGAAAAGATCTTTCAGGGACCCGCAGTTGGCGTAATGGCTATGTCATTGGACAAACATATAGTTGACTGCAGTTTGAGTCCCGGACCCCGTGTCATAAACTCACACCGTGTGTGTGTGTGTGTGTGTGTGTGTGTGTGTGTGCATACCCAATATCCTAAGAGGAGAATGGAGGAGAGGGGATTGCAGTATGGCTATCATCACAATGCAGTGATTTCTTGCTTTCTGTTCTGTCTCTCTGTCTCTATTTCTGGCAAGTTCAAAAGAAAAGAACAAAAACAAAAACAAACAAACAAAAAAAACCTTTCAAATCTGTATAAACTTTTGACAAGTCAG